CACTCTGTCAACAGATTCAATACGTTTAGCAGTATTTTAATCAGGCATCAACACAGCCACCTATCCGAGAGACAGCAGGCGCAAATCGTGACACCGCACCTACTAATGGCACTTCCGGTGGCCACAAGTGCCACTGCTTTCGGGTCTAGCTGCCAGAGTTGCCACTGCGTTCGGCTGACTTCGGCTGACCTCGGCACCTCGTACTGGCACTTCATCTGACACCTGCCACAAGTGCCACTGTTTTCGGGTCTAGCTGCCAGAGTTGCCACTGCGTTCGGCTGACTTCGGCTGACCTCGGCACCTCGTACTGGCACTTCCGCTGACACCTGCCATTAGTGCCACTGTTTTCGGGTCTAGCTGTCAGTGTTGCCACTGCGTTCGGCTGACTTCGGCTGACTTCGGCACCTTCCAAGGGTTTCCACGACCTCATACTGGCACCTCCCACGCCTCACGGACCGCTCTCGCCTATTTTCGCTGATGAGATTTAGGGCGGCCATTTTAGAGCGGTCGACCGCTCCACTCAGCGTTATACGTTGGACAGGCACAATGACGTATTTGAGCATTGATCTTTTCATAACACGCTGTTTCGTTACTGGAAACCTTATACAAACAGCTATATTTATAAAAATTTTATTTTTAAGGTTTTTTTATTGTATTATACATAGTTAAGCATATTTAAATATCCTTTGTGGGAAAAACAAAGAATAGGAATAGAATATTCTTTGGTGACAGCTTCTGTGACATATTTAATATGAATGAATTTATAATTCAAGAAAACACCGGTGGATCTGGCACAAAGTATTGCATTTCCTCTTAAGTGTTGTGTTCCCTAAAAAAAGCAAATACGCCCTGGTCTAATTTGGATACAGTCTCAAATTTCAGTTTCCAATAAAGAGCCTCAGTGAAAACATGTTGACAGCTGCTGTAAGATGCCACTTGTGCCACGGGCTTCCGGGTAAGGTGGCCACTTAATTTCATTTGTTTGAACTAAAGTTATTCATACACTACATTCTATCTGAAACAGACAGAATGAGGTTAGCAGCCCGTGGCACCCATGGCCACAAGTGGCACAAGTAAGGTGGTACACCTTAATGTGCCATGAGAATTAAAACATAATTGAGAATTAAAACATAATTGAGAATTAAAACATAATTCTCTTACATATTTAAATATACAGTCGGTGTTCCGACTTAGCAGAGAAAGACAACACCTGCACTGAATGCATGTCAGATGGGACCTCTTCTGCGACAGCTGATAATAGCTACCACTACAACTGACACTAGGTGGCCATGGTATGTCAGTGCTGACAAGCTCCTGTCAGTTCCGGATTATAATTATTTTCATACAATGACCTTAATATAATGCTATTGATTATTAAACCGGGTAAGTTCACTAATATTGACTTATTAGTTAATATTAGTGACAGTGGCAACATGAGATATTGACAATTCCAGAGTGACATTATGTTCAGCATGGTTCCATGACAGTGCACAGGATGTCATAAGTTATAGTGGCTGCCTGGTCTATTACTTAATAGACCAGGCAGCCACTATAACTTTGTGTTTTTTTTAAGATAATGCAAAGTTTTGGGAAAACATGTTACCATAATTTTCCAAAAATGCCTGTTAACCAGTTTTAAAGAGTTATTACTTGTTATTATTTAATAAATTTAATATCTGCTCTTTTTCATTAATTGTGAAGTTCATTACAGATTTGTGTGGCATAAATGAAGGCTGCTTCTCCGTGTTCGTTTCTGGTACTGGACATTGTCTTAAAAGTTTTCTTATTCAAAGGTAAGACAATGAATAAAATCTGAGCTACAAAATGCATTTCAACAGCATTTTCAAGGCAGCAGGAGGACTTTCACTTTCAAGTTAAACCATCTTCAATTTTTTGTTACACTGAAGTAAGTCAAAACACAAAGTATGTACACCTCAAAAACTTTGACAATGTGTGAATCCTAAGCAACATTAAGAACAAGATTGTTACATATTTTTGGAAATAAAAATTACTTTGGGTTATACTTAAGATGGAAATGCTTTTTTAAATGAAAATTGTGCTGTTTACATATTATTTTATTTGGCAGATATGTTTCAACATTTTTTAAAGTTTATGTCACAAAGTATATGCATAGTAATTGATTTGTCAATATTTATTAGCCATTGTATGTAAATACTTTAAACAGCAATAACATATGATTTAAGTTTTCAATAGCCAAGAACTAAAATATTTGTGTATTATAAAATCCCTCTCTGAAATCATTTGAAGTCTACTGTAAAATTCATGTTTAGTCAACGTGTGAATTTACTACATCAGGATCACATAACATATTATTACTCCATGAGAAATTATAATATTTCATTACATTTAAATGTTTTTTCAAACTTTATTAATTTCTACAATATACGTTTTACACAACTTTGTTGTGACAGCTCTGAAACATCCTGGACACCCAACAGCAGCTCTAGTGGAGGCCAGACTCAGCTGTTACAAAGGTGCTGAAACCAATGGCATCCTTGATACCTGTTGTGTATTTGATTAATTCAAAGACGAAAAGAGTCGGCTGGATTATTCAGATGAACTTTGGTGAATAAATAGGATGAACGAATCATACATGATATACAAAAAGTGTAGGAATTCAGCTAACATAAGTCTTTCTGCGAAAAAACCCCTGAAAAATTCTCTCTTCTTCGTCTGTCTTCAAGACGAAGACAGACGAAGCAACCATATTTCAGACATGGTTGCTGAAATATTAAATGTGGTCCATTTGCCGAAGCCAGTGGCACCCATGGTGGCAATGTCTATGGTGGCAACAGTCACAGCTAGCCCCGAAAACAGTGGCACTTGTTACCAATAACGACAGGTATCAGAGGAAGTGCCATTAGTAGGTGCGGTGTCACGACTTGAGCTCGGCCCTGTTGCTTTCTGTGCCTTTATGAAAAAATAACACAGCTCATACTGCGTCTCCTCGTCTCCTTCATAATACTCTCTACTGCTCTGATTTGCAAAATCACGTATGAGTTTATAAATGAAGAACTTACACGTTGTATTCCACATTTCCAGCACTAATAACTGGAGATATTTACGAATGACTCATAAACACGGTTGTGCTAGCCTCTGTAGCATCCGAGCTAGCAGCTAAAACAGTTCCTGTTCAGCTCCGTTTAGCAGCAGCTGGAGCTGCAGCAACTATCGCCGCTGACGGATCTCTGTCTGCTGTGAAATCATCAGCACCTTTATCCAGACCTACCAGAACTTTGTAGCTCCGAACCGACTCTGTGTAGCTTAATTTCTGGTTTCCAGTCGATCCCCATCATCCTGCGTTGAGCATCGAGCTCTTCCTCGTAGCAAATGATGGTTTTTTCAACCTCTGTGAAGATTTCTTGAGCAGCAGCAGTTAGTCGCTCTCTGATAAACTCTCTGAGATGCTGAACTGAAGACATGGTTGCTGACATATTAGCTCAGATGGGACAACGCAGCAGTTTTCTAGACAAGCTCATGCGGGCTTCTTCTTCGATGTTTTTTTGGCGGTGGGCAAAGAAGGAAATTGGTGCAATACCGCCCCCTATTGAACTGGAGTGCAGCTGACGATAAATGGGGAAAAACAACTTCGTATTAATTCACAAGTTTTTATTTTGAAACAAAAGATAGTCCATACCATTGAGAAAAAAATGAAATGCACATTTCAAGTAAAAAATGACAAATCACAAAGCAGATAATTATTCCAACTGTTAAAAAGCTAGAAATATATCTAATATATGTTGTAGTTTCAGAGCTCTTTATAAGTTCTTTGATACATCCAAGCGGCACATAAATTGATACATGAAATTATTCAGTAAAGCATGAAAAGTTGGTATGTTACTCATGACAAACATTTCCATCTGAAAGTCAAATTTTAAGGAGGATTCTAGATTCAGGATTCTGAAAGCGTCCCGATTGGCTACTTTGCAAAAGTAAATCAGTGGCATGTTAAGTAACATGGCACCTCAATATTTACACTTACAAACCAGTTGAACTGGTTTTGAATATTCTAAATATACTTTAACAAATTTCATAGATATGCACCACAATAAAAAAAATCCATAAATGGGCAACCAAAAATAGATGAAGGTCCAATGTATTTTGCAAAGTGAAATATTTAATATTTCTTATACTAAATCTGTGCGAGTTAAATGACTAATTCTCATTTTTGTGTATTTATTTCATGTGGAAATTCAGTTTACCAGTATAAAAGAACTCTTTTTTTTTCCCTCCATATTTCATGTGGAAATCCCAACTCCTACATATGGATTCTAATGAGAATAATTAAGTAATCAATTACAAATAACTTTTTTGTTTTACAGATTTGGCTTCAAAGCGGCCCCCCGTATGCGTTTTCATGTGATTGGTCAACTTATCCTTTCGATAGAAGCTTTTTTCACAAAACTGGCATGAAAAAGGCTTCTCGTTTGTATGAGTTTTCTTGTGATGATTTAAGTGACTCATTCGCGAGAAACTTTTTCCGCATGTTTGGCATGAAAAAGGTCTTTCACCAGTATGAATTCTCTTGTGGACATTTAAGTGACTAATTGCACGGAAACTCTTTCCACATATTTGGCATGAAAAAGGCTTCTCACCTGTATGAATTCTCTTGTGGAGATTTAAACTACCAATTTGAGAGAAACTCTTTCCGCATGACTGACATGAAAAAGGCTTCTCACCTGTATGAATTCTCTTGTGCACTTTTAAATTACTTATTCCAGTGAAACCTTTTCCGCATGTTTCACATGAAAAAAGTCTCTCAACAGTGTGGGTTCTGTAATGGTTTTTCAACTTCTTCTTTTGTGTGTAACATATTCCACAAATGTCACATTTGAAAGATCTTTTCTTTGTGCCAGTATCAGACTGACTCTCTGACACAGAGCAGCTGCTTCCTTCCTGATCTTTGCTCTCAACCACTGGAGAGACACGAAGGGAAAGCTGCTCTGTTCTTGTCTCTTCTTCACTCATATCATCTCCCTGAAGAGTAGAAGTCTCAATCAAAGCAACAAACTGCTTCTGGACAAGCTGCTCTCCCTCCTGACTGCTGCAGAGGTCCTTCTGGTCCTGTCCAGTTGGTAAATGTTCTGGTGGCTGCTGTTCATGTTGAAGCACTGAAGAATCTAGCTCCTCTTTTCTTACATATGTTAGTGGATATTCTATTTCCTCATGTTTAAACAGTGTAGGTTCTGGTTCCTCCTCTTCTCTTTTAATCCATTTAGGTCCTGGTTCCATCTGTTCCTCTTCAGTCCACTGATGTTCTGCTTCTGTCTGGTCCTGACTGGACCTACTTGCCAGGCTCCAGACTTGTTGGATGGCAGAAGCTTTTTCCTCATTGGAGACACTTGGCTGTTGGAGGTCTGTGGGAACAAAGGATGACATCATTAATATAATTTAATTGATGTCGATTTCATGGATCAGCCTGGTTTTCCCTGCAGATTCTGGTCTGTAGGCATCATACAGTTCATCTAAAATTAGTTTGTGAAGTTTAACTGAAGAGCAGGTACAGTGACCTCCACACTAAGTTACAGTTGTACAGTTCAAAAGTCTTCAGTCCCACAGTACAGTTTCATAAAGTTTTTTGAGTTTACAAATTAATTCTTAATTTTGTGGCATTCAACAGTAAAGAACTCATTGTACATTAAGACAATATGTTTTTAATCTCACTTGTAACCTCACTTTTTAAAGTTGATCAGACTGCAGAAACTTTAATCAGTAAAACATGGCATTCTGGTTCTCTGGATTATAAATGTGATCAGACACAGACACTTGTTTCTCTAAGCCGCTATTCATTAAGGACAAAGAAGAGGGCATTTCTTTTAATTAGGCGGCTGTCTTGATGTTCAAAAGGAAGTGGATGCAAGAGAAGATTGAAAAGTCCGGTCTAAAATTTAAACCTATTTATGACTGATCAGACTGTACATTTAGTTAAACAACTGGACGTGTGAGAGACGATGTTGGATGAGGTTTTCTCAACACCACACACTGAGGAGGATGGTGCAGGAGGTCAACACATCTCCAGGTCTCTCTGTAAGAGAACTGCAGCAAACGAAGCTGAAGTTGGTTTTCAATTCCAGCTTCCAATAGTTAAAGGGCGATTCCACTTAATTTTTCACTACTTTCCGCTACTTTCCACATTTTTAATCAACTCTAGTTTAAAAACTACTACACCTAGACACTTCAAACCTGGACTAGATTATTCTGCTCTAATAGCAGAATATGTAAAACCATGTTAGTGATTTGTGAAACATTTTCCTGATTTGTGAAAACTAAATAAAGTTTATTTAGTTTTCATTTTTTGGCATCTGAATCACATTAGAACTGGTCTAATTAAAAAACTACAACTCTTCAAACCTAGAATAGATTGTTCTCCCCTTGAAGCTGGATATTTAAAACCATGTTTGGGATTTGTGAAACCTTTTTCTGATTTGTGAAAACTCAATAAAGTTAGATTTTCACCATTTTTGGCACCTCTTTCATTACTACAACTGCTCTAATTTAAAAAAAAAACTACAACTCTTCAAACCTAGAATAGATTGTTCTCCCCTTGAAGCTGGATATTTAAAACCATGTTTGGGATTTGTGAAACCTTTTTCTGATTTGTGAAAACTCAATAAAGTTAGATTTTCACCATTTTTGGCACCTCTTTCATTACTACAACTGCTCTAATTTAAAAAAAAAACTACAACTCTTCAAACCTAGAATAGATTGTTCTCCCCTTGAAGCTGGATATTTAAAACCATGTTTGGGATTTGTGAAACCTTTTTCTGATTTGTGAAAACTCAATAAAGTTAGATTTTCACCATTTTTGGCACCTCTTTCATTACTACAACTGCTCTAATTTAAAAAAAAAACTACAACTCCTAGACTCTT